GACTGGTAACTGTCTTTACTGTCTGAAACTCTGACTAAAGTCCTGCTGAAGCGACTGTGAGCCGCTCTTATTCCTCCAGACTGACACTCGACACAGTTACAGGTACAGTTTACTGCCGGAACACAAGATTCACAGCGATATACAAACAGAGAAGCCAGCTGCGCACGAGACCGTCAGATATTTCTTATATAGCCTACACACACACACACACACACACACACACTCTCTCTCTCTCTCTCACACACACACTCTCTCCCTCACACACACACAATCTTTGTCTCTATCTCTCTCTCTCACACACACACACACACTCTCACACAGGCTTACGCTGAAAACAACAAAATGGAACCTCAAGGTTGATCTAGGAAAATGTGTGCAAATGTATAGGGCCCCATTCCTATATTTTGCCTGGGGCCCCCAATTCACTAAATCCGCTCCTGCCCATGTGCACCTGCATACCCTGCATACAAGACCTGGACCTGATCCAGACTGATAAACGCATGTAAAGGAATGCTCGATTATTTGGTCATTCATTATCCTGATCGCTCGTGATTCGCTTTCGCTCTTTTTGGTCGCGCTCGAGCGCCGTAACCGATCCTCCAAAGTACATGATGTTTACTGTCTTTACTCTCTGAAACTCTGACTAAAGTCCTGCTGAAGCGACTGTGAGCCGCTCTTATTCCTCCAGACTGACACTCGACACAGTTACAGGTACAGTTTACTGCCGGAACACAAGATTCACAGCGATATACAAACAGAGAAGCCAGCTGCGCACGAGACCGTCAGATATTTCTTATATAGCCTACACACACACACACACACACACACACACTCTCTCTCTCACATTCAAGGCCTTCACAGCCAGACTGAAGCCCCCTGATGCTGAGATCTCGATGCCCAGGTAAGTGTAGCTGCTGCTGTGCTCTAGGACTTCTCCTCTGTAACTGAACTGGCATCTGCTTCTCTGAGACCTGGCCTTCTTCTGGAACACCATGACCGTGGTTTTGTCCAGGTTGACCATCAGTGCCCATTCCTCACAGTACTGTTCCAGCAGGGCCAGGCTGTGCTGGAGACCCTCGGCTGTGGGGGACAGCAGAACCAGGTCGTCTGCATACAGCAGGCATTTGACTTTGTAAATATCTGTTAAACTGTAATTGATCAAAGCTGAATTTTCAGCATCATTACTCCAGTCTTCAGTGTCACATGATCCTTGCCGCGTGTGTGTGTGTGCGTGTGTGTGTGTGTGTGTTGCAGGTCACGCGGTGACATGAGCAGGTATTATGTTGGCGTGGACGTGGGCACTGCCAGTGTGCGAGCGGCTCTGGCCACGCGGGACGGTCACATCACACACACAGCAGAGGAGCCGGTTAACATTTGGGAGCCGTGTGCTGATCATTACGAGCAGTCATCAGAGGATATCTGGAGCAAATGCTGCAGGACTGTGAAGGTGAGCAGCGATGATCGCACTCCTGCATCACTGTCGCGCAAACATCTCTGCATAGATCTTCATGTTGAGTAATCTTTTTTCAGTGTTTGACTTTGTTCATGTTGTTATAGCGAGTGACTCAGGACGTTGATGTGGAGTCTGTTCGAGGGATCGGCTTTGATGCCACCTGCTCCTTGGTGGCTCTGGACCGGCACTTCCAGCCTGTGGCTGTCAATCACACAGGTGCGTGTTTCACGAGTCAGTCACACAGGTGTGTGTTTCACGAGTCAGTGTCACAGGTGTGTGTGTGTTGCACGAGTCAGTCACACAGGCGCGTGTTTCACGAGTCAGTCACAGGTGTGTGTTTCACGAGTCAGTTACACAGGTGCATGTTTCACGATCACAATAACAATAAACATCCCTGCTTGGCCAAAATGTTCAACATGAATGCCTGTGATTGGCTACAGTACTCAACATTGCAAAATCGTGATTTAAAGACACACTTGTACTCGTGTGAAGCATGTACACAAGAACCAATAACCACAAGAAAGAAAGGTTTAGGTTAAAGCAAGCGAGAGGTTTAAGGTATGCATGATGGTAAGTTCACCTTGCTTTTTGAAATACATCCAAGCTCACACATGGTAAAAAACAACAATTATGATATTGTTATAGACAACACGAGTCAGTCACACAGGTGCGCGTGTTTCACGAGTCAGTCACAGGTGTGTGTGTGTTGCACGAGTCAGTCACACAGGCGCGTGTTTCACGAGTCAGTCACAGGTGTGTGTGTGTTTCACGAGTCAGTCACACAGGTGTGTGTTTCACGAGTCAGTCACAGGTGTGTGATTCACGAGTCAGTCACAGGCGCGTGTTTCACGAGTCAGTCACACAAGTGTGTGTGTGTTTCACGAGTCAGTCACACGGGTGTGTTTCACGAGTCAGTCACACGGGTGTGTTTCACGAGTCAGTCACACGGGTGTGTTTCACGAGTCAGTCACACGGGTGTGTTTCACGAGTCAGTCACACGGGTGTGTTTCACGAGTCAGTCACACGGGTGTGTTTCACGAGTCAGTCACACGGGTGTGTTTCACGAGTCAGTCACACGGGTGTGTTTCACGAGTCAGTCACACGGGTGTGTTTCACGAGTCAGTCACACGGGTGTGTTTCACGAGTCAGTCACACGGGTGTGTTTCACGAGTCAGTCACACGGGTGTGTTTCACGAGTCAGTCACACGGGTGTGTTTCACGAGTCAGTCACACGGGTGTGTTTCACGAGTCAGTCACACGGGTGTGTTTCACGAGTCAGTCACACGGGTGTGTTTCACGAGTCAGTCACACGGGTGTGTTTCACGAGTCAGTCACACGGGTGTGTTTCACGAGTCAGTCACACGGGTGTGTTTCACGAGTCAGTCACACGGGTGTGTTTCACGAGTCAGTCACACGGGTGTGTTTCACGAGTCAGTCACACGGGTGTGTTTCACGAGTCAGTCACACGGGTGTGTTTCACGAGTCAGTCACACGGGTGTGTTTCACGAGTCAGTCACACGGGTGTGTTTCACGAGTCAGTCACACGGGTGTGTTTCACGAGTCAGTCACACGGGTGTGTTTCACGAGTCAGTCACACGGGTGTGTTTCACGAGTCAGTCACACGGGTGTGTTTCACGAGTCAGTCACACGGGTGTGTTTCACGAGTCAGTCACACGGGTGTGTTTCACGAGTCAGTCACACGGGTGTGTTTCACGAGTCAGTCACACGGGTGTGTTTCACGAGTCAGTCACACGGGTGTGTTTCACGAGTCAGTCACACGGGTGTGTTTCACGAGTCAGTCACACGGGTGTGTTTCACGAGTCAGTCACACGGGTGTGTTTCACGAGTCAGTCACACGGGTGTGTTTCACGAGTCAGTCACACGGGTGTGTTTCACGAGTCAGTCACACGGGTGTGTTTCACGAGTCAGTCACACGGGTGTGTTTCACGAGTCAGTCACACGGGTGTGTTTCACGAGTCAGTCACACGGGTGTGTTTCACGAGTCAGTCACACGGGTGTGTTTCACGAGTCAGTCACACGGGTGTGTTTCACGAGTCAGTCACACGGGTGTGTTTCACGAGTCAGTCACACGGGTGTGTTTCACGAGTCAGTCACACGGGTGTGTTTCACGAGTCAGTCACACGGGTGTGTTTCACGAGTCAGTCACACGGGTGTGTTTCACGAGTCAGTCACACGGGTGTGTTTCACGAGTCAGTCACACGGGTGTGTTTCACGAGTCAGTCACACGGGTGTGTTTCACGAGTCAGTCACACGGGTGTGTTTCACGAGTCAGTCACACGGGTGTGTTTCACGAGTCAGTCACACGGGTGTGTTTCACGAGTCAGTCACACGGGTGTGTTTCACGAGTCAGTCACACGGGTGTGTTTCACGAGTCAGTCACACGGGTGTGTTTCACGAGTCAGTCACACGGGTGTGTTTCACGAGTCAGTCACACGGGTGTGTTTCACGAGTCAGTCACACAGGTGCGTGTTTCACGAGTCAGTCACAGGTGTGACTTTCATGTGTGTCTCGCAGGTGTGCGGGAGAGGAACGTGCTGATGTGGATGGACCACCGGGCCGCAGAACAAGCCTCTCGGATCACAGCCACCAAACACAGAGTGCTTCAGGGAGTCGGCGGCGTGATGTCGCCCGAAATGCAGCCGCCTAAATTACTGTGGCTCAAAGAGGTGAGGCGTGTGAGCACCACAAACACTCTTATCATCTTGAGTTTCAATCCGCTGTTTTTCATTCTGTGATTAGAATCTGCGGGAAACCTGCTGGAAAGAAGCGGCACACTTCTTTGACCTTCCTGACTTTCTGTCCTGGAAAGCGACAGGCTCTTTGTGCAGGTGAGCTTTCATTAGAACGCTGATGATGCTCTGATCGCTGGAGGGAAATCATCTGGAATATAACAACATCAGGCACTATCTACAAGAAAAAAAAAGTTCAATATATCTCTCAATATTTACATTTATGCATCTAGCAGACGCTTTTATCCAAAGTGACAAATGAATGATGAAAAATATTTCTTTACATAGTTGCATTTAATTATGTAGAAATATTAATATTAATGTAGTTGCTATGAAATAATTTAAGAACAGTTTATTTTCTTTTAAATCAGAGGAGTCATCACTTTAACCTCTTTAGCAAAATAAAATGTTTCATGCAAGACATAAAGACAGCAAAGTTATTTTGTTAAAATAATCAAGACATGTTTTTCATAAAATGAATTAAAGTACAAACGAAACATTTATTCTAGTTTTTATGCACCAGTATTACCAACACATAGTTAAAAAAAAGCAACAATTCCTAACCCTACATAATTGTTTAGCAAGTCATTTTAATACATGAAAAATCAGTGAAATATGTGTCCCTGCAGCACAAAAGCAGTCTTAAGTCGCTGGGGTATATTTGTAGCAATAACCAACAATACATTGTATGGGTCAAAATTATACATTTCTCTTTTATGCCAAAAATCATTAGGATATTAAGATCATGTTCCATGAAGATATTTTGTACATTTCCTACCGTAAATATATCAAAACTTAATGTTTGATTAGTAATATGCATTGCTAAGAACTTCATTTGAACAACTTTAAAGATGATTTTCTCAGTATTTAGATTTTTTTGCACCCTCAGATTCCAGATTTTCAAATAGTTGTATCTCAGCCAAATATTGTCCTATCCTAACAAACCGTACATCAATGGAAAGATTATTTATTCAGCTTTCAGATGATGTATAAATCTCAATTTTGAAAAATTGACACTTAAGACTGGTTTTGTGGTCCAGGGTCACACATTTCTTGTATTTGCAGAGGCTTCTGTGAACATGTTTAGTGATGCAGTGAATTGTTGAATAGAGTTACAAATTGAACATTGATTCATGAAAATGAGCAGCTCTAATGCTGTTTTTACTGCAGTTTAAATGATAAACAGTATTAAAAACTCATTAACAGCCTCATCTTAATGCTCTCCTACTCGCAGGTCACGAGGCAGAAGGATCGCAGAACTATTGTAACAATACAGTCTTTAGCAAACTGAAACCCAATCCTTACGAATAGTTCACCCAAAAATGAACATTTGCAGAAAGTCCATCAGAGATTAGGATGAGTTTGTTTCTTCATCAGATTTGGAGAAATGTAGCATTGCATCAGTGTCTCAGCAATGGATGATCTGCAGTGAATGGGTGCCGTCAGAATGAGAGTCCAAACACCTGATAAAAACATCACAATAATCCACAAGTAATCCACAGCACTCCAGTCCATCAGTTAACATCTGGAGAAGACAAAAGCTGAAACAAATCCGATTTGTGGATTATTGTGATGTTTTTATCAGCTGTTTGGACTCTCATTCTGATGGCACCCATTCACTGCAAAGCATCCATTGCTGAGACACTGATGCAGTGCTACATTTCTACAAACCTGATGAAGAAACAAACTCATCCTAATCATCCTAATTTTTCATTTTCAGTACTTTTTCGTTAAATGGCACCCATTCACTGCAGAGCATCCATTGCTGAGACACTGATGCAGTGCTACATTTCTACAAACCTGATGAAGAAACAAACTCATCCTGATCTTGGATGGCCTGAGAGTGAGCACATTTTCATTTTTAGCTGAACAATTTCTTTAACGATCAAGCAAAGTCTAATGAGAGTCATGTATATCTCCAGTGAAGTGATGGTGAATATCGAGCAGCTAAACAGCAGCTGTGTCTCCTGACGCAGGTCTTTATGTACTCTGGTGTGTAAGTGGACCTATTCTCCATCTGACGGCTGGGACGACTCGTTCTGGAGCGCCATCGGTCTGGAGGACCTGATGGAGAACAGTTACTCTAAAATAGGTAGGAGAGAATCGTGCTCCGGGTAGGTTGAGCTGGTTCTGCTGACTGAGGTCTTGTCTTGTGCTGAAGGCCAGCAGGCGTGTTGTCCAGGGGCTCCAGTAGGACGAGGTCTGACCGCAGCGGCGGCTGCAGATCTGGGTCTGATTCAGGGCACCGCTGTGGGTGCTTCGCTCATAGACGCTCACGCAGGAGGCTTAGGTACAGATCCACACACTCCTCAAACTAATGCTGTGCTCGCTCAGACAACACACACAGCTTAGCGTTCAGACAGTTTCATTTCGTTCTTATCGAGTTAAAAACACAAATAAATGCACAGCCATTTGCACTCTGCATGGAAAACATTTATATGAACGCGCTGTTGCACCTCTGAGAACTTTTAAGGCTTATTCTGTGGCGTTTATATAAGCCTTTTGACGTGTTGTCACAGAGCTGTAAAAACGGTTATGCTCACCAAGTGAATGAATCGCGTTTGTGCCGAACTCTTATTACAAAGCAAAAACAAACACTCTTCTTCGATCCATGAACGTTTCTCTCAGTTAATGTGCAGCGATGTCATCTCACAGTCTGAAGCGTCTGTCATAGCAAATCAACACATGCTGTTGTGAGTTAATGTGCTCGATGTCATCTCACAGTCTGTAACGTCTGTCACAGCAAATCAACACATGCTGTTGTGAATAATTAAGCAAAGCGTCTTCTCATAGGATAAGAACACGCAGTGTCATGAATAATTTAATAGACACCGACGCGTCATCGATGTACTATAGTCCATTGCCACGTCACAAATTGTGACGTCAACACGATGTAGATTTTAAACCCGGAAGATGAAAATAGCGCAAAGCTTAAAATTAACCAGTTTTCTCCAACAGTTAAAATTATGGGATGCTAACATTGTCTTCTATGATGTGCAACACAAACACCTCTGCTACAATCTCAGAAAAAGTAGTCTGGGGTTTCATGACCCTTTAAGGCAAAACAAAACCAGTGTTTTTTTTTTGTTTTGTTTTTTTATGCACTGGTCAATGTTGAGATTTTGGTCTGTTTTGCTTCCATATCATGTCTTCTTTCAGACTAGTGGAGAAAAAACTTACAAAATACACATTGAAGTGTTTATTTTAATGCGATTTATCTGTTTGCGTCTGTAGATTTAAACTCCAATCTATATATTTAGTTTTTTTTCTCTTACATGCACCAAAACTTAGTTTTATTCCTCTCTGTATTCTGAAGGTTTGTTCGTATATCATTCACACGGATTTATACAACATTTTACTCATAAACATGGTGAAAATGTGTTTGTTTTCTGTCTGTTCACAGTATTTTCTGATTTATGGAAAAACCTTTAAAATGTCAACAAAATCTAACAAGATTATGAATCTGGATTTATTCAGTCTTCAGATTTATGTTGTGGAAATGTATGCAAATTAGTTCATATTTAATTAGATAATGCCTCATTTGCATATGTAAACATAAGCTTTCAGAATACTACAATGGTTCCCATTCTTGTTGTAATTGATGAGCTGGGGAAGTGTGGTGGTAAGTATTAGATTTCTGTCCTCTGCTCCGCTGTACAGTCGTGTGTGTAATTCCAGTGATTTCTCTGGTTGTGTAGGGCTGATGGGAGCAGACGTGACGGGGCATCACCTGCCCTGCGAGCATCGGCCGGTCTCGTCCCGTATGGCCCTCATATGCGGCACGTCTTCATGTCACATGGCTGTGAGCTTCATTCTGACGTGACGCTGTGTCTGTGTCAGATCTAGTGATGGTTGAATCTCAGCGTGTGTTTGTGTTGGTCTCTCAGGTCAGCACACAGCCGCTGTTCGTCCCCGGGGTCTGGGGCCCGTATCTCTCCGCCATGCTGCCGGGGCTGTGGCTCAATGAGGGAGGACAGAGCGCCACGGGACGCCTGGTGAGAGCCGAGCGCTTCAGAATCATGAGCATTCGCATTTGTACTGAACACATCATTATGAAACACACCATCAAACTGCAAATGAGCTGCAGGGATCTGACGTGTGTTTTCAGGTGGAGCATGTGGTGAGAGGACACGCGGCGTACAGGCAGCTGGAGGAGCAGGCGGAGCGCAGGTGTGTGTCTGTCAATCATCCTCGTCTGATCTCTCTGATCTCAGTCTCATTTCACCGGTTTGCTCCGTGCAGCGGGAAGCAGGTTTACTCGTACCTGAACGCTCACCTGGAGAGCATGAGCGCAGACGCAGTGCAGCTGGAGCAGCTGACGGCCCGCCTGCACGTCTGGCCTGATTTCCACGGCAACCGCTCTCCTCTGGCCGACCAGACGGCCCGCGGCGCGGTGAGCAGCAGGACACGCCTCCTCCGGCGCTGATCCGCATCATCAGTGTCTGCATCACGATTCACTGCTGATCACAAGATACAGAACAGGAAGATTATTTGGAGGAACTTTGAGATTGTCGAGATATTATTTTCATTACAATTAGATGCAAATTAAAGGGTGTTGCTATGTACTTTCTAGGATGTCGTGTTGTGAGTGCTAAGCTGTTGCTAGGGTGTTCTTAGTGGTTGCTAGGGTGTTGCTAGGATGAATAATTAGAATGGGGAACAAAATCCTTCCAAATTAACCTTTGAATGCATTATAATGGTTAATGGGAATGTTTTTTAGTATCTCCCCCCCCCCTTAACATCTTAATGGCACTAGAAAGAACTTGATTTTGTTGGTCAAATAAAATGTGTTCTTTTTTTAAGGTGTTAAGGAAATATAAAAGATTATTTTATGTTTTTGGACTAATTTCTGAAGTGCTAGATAGTGGTTTGATGTGTTTACTGATGCGTTTGTGCAGGTTGTGGGTCTCACTTTATCACAGACACTGGATGATCTGGCTCTGCTGTATCTCGCAACTCTTCAGGCCATCGCTGTAAGACACACACACACTCACACTCACTCACACACACACTCACACTCATTCACACACACACACTCACACTCACACACATTCACATTTTAACAATTTATTTAAGTCCACTTAAAATAAATAACTTACAGGGACATAAATATTATAGATGCAGTTAGATACATGTACAAAATCATGGACCAATGGCATGCAACAGGTCTTCACAATATTAAGCATATCACTCAGTTGTTATGGGTATAAATAACAGCGTCTCCGCCATGTATGACGGCTGCCTATGATAGAGGACAAAGCACAGTACTTTGTTAGCCGTTTAGCCCTCTTTTTGGGCATCCCAAGTTGTTGAAACCCTCTTACAACCAGCCTGTGTGTGTTACACATACACTCACACACACTCACTCACTCACACACACACTCATACACTCACACACACACAACACACACTTACACGTCACACACTCACTCACACACACACTCATACACACACTTACACGTCACACACACACTCATACACTCACTCACACACAACACACACTTACACGTCACACACACACACACTCACACGGATGCTCCTTTAAGAAAATGATCACATCTTCCAGTGTTAATGTGAATATGTCTCTGTTGTGTGAAGCTCGGCACCAGACACATCATAGACGCCATGAGAGCGGCAGGACATGACATCACAACCCTCTTCCTGTGTGGAGGACTGAGCAAGAATGCCCTGTTTGTGCAGACACATGCCAACACTACAGGTGACTGCACTCATGTCTGCATCACTGACCTGCGCAGACGACATCCTCACGTCATCACATTACACACAGAGTCTGAGCACTGAACCTCATCACATGAAGACAGGCAGCACTGTGTGTGTTTGGGGTTAGTGGATGATGTGGGTAGTTAATGTGATTCTCTACACCGGTGTGATCTGTGAGAACTGACTTCATACATCCAGCCTCCAAGATATTCTTGATGGCCGTTCTGTGCTTCCAGGGGACAGTAAGTTCCAGTAAAACCACTTGCTTTGTAGACTCTGATGTTAACACCATGTCTGGGCGGAACAAAGTGTTTGCGACGTTTTTTGGGAACTTAAGCTGCCTTCCTAGATCTACCTGGAGCTGCCAGTCCCGTGTGGTGGCAAGAATCCCTCCCGTGGAGCTAGGCCGACCCTGTGCCTTCTGCCCAGCTCTGAAGAAGGTGATGTACTGTTTGGGGGTGTGCTGACTCTTACCATCTTGAATCACTCATCACAATGTGCTGATTGTCTCCGTCAGAGACCTTAAGTCCCCCAGTGCCTTCGAACAACAACTGAGGATGTGCCCCAGGGTGCCCCTCTTCTGGCAAAGTTGGCACTCTGGAGTATTTGCCATTCCCCGGGCTATACAGGTTAGATGGGCTGGGGAGAACATCATAAACTGATTGATTGAGAAACTTAATGCGCAATGGTTCAGCTCTCCAGAGCTCCGTCCAGGTGATCTTGCGAGGCTCTACATGCTCCCATCTGGTCCAGGCTCCTTGCTTGTACGTGCCCGACCATCTTACTGTAGTGTTCTTCCTCCACCTCTGCTCGTATCTCATCCTGTACCAGTTGACGTTTCTCCTTCCCATGGCTTTTGTCATAAAGTGGTTGGGGAAAACTGCCCAGTCCTGCCCGCCTCACTGCCACAGTGCCCACCAAGATGTTATGCCACAGCCGTGCCTCTGCTCTATCTACAGCAACCTGAGCCTGCCATGTCTTCATGAGGATTCCTGTAGTCGCGACTTTAATGTCGGAGGAGTCTCGGTACATCATAACCTCCCTGGCTTAAGTAACTTTGAACTCCTCCACTAGGCCACTTATAAGAAGCTGGAGCTTGGTGGAATGCCCATACAGGGCAATACTGCTTAGAGAGCGAGGGAGCCCCAACCACCTCCGGAGGAACTGACTGATAGTTTTCTCTATGGCTTCCACTGTTGTCATTGGCGCCTCGTACACTAGAAGAGGCCAGAGCAGCCTTGGCAGAACTGCATGTTGATATACCCAGACTTTGAACTTTCCTGGAAGCCTCGATTTATCTATCACAGTGAGCCAGGCAGTAAAATCGCTCCGGGTTTGTTGCGTTGTGGTTGTGTCCTTCAGGAAACTGTCAAAGATCTTGCCCAGGCTCTTGACCGTTTTTTCTGTCACTGTTGGAATCTGAGTCCCTCCCAGGGTAAAGCGGAACTGGTCAGCCACTTTTCCCTATTTCAGCACTAGAGACCTGGACTTGTCTGGTTTAAAACTCATCCTTGCCCATGTGATGAGCTATTTGAGTCCTCGAAGAAGCCATCTGCACCCAGAAACAGATGTTGGGGCTGCCAAGTACCAGATCTAGACATTGGGCCTCTACATTCCACCTCTGCTGGCTTGACGATCATGTTCCTGGCTAATGCAAAGAGTGGCACTGAGATTGTGCAGCCAGTGATTATACCCTTCTCCAGTCGGTGCCATGAAGATATTAGTGACCCTGAGGAGACTCTCAACCTAAAGTCACTATAATAGTCCAGAATTATGTTACTAATCATCTCTGGAACATGGTGTCTTGTCATTGCTGTCTCGACGAGCTTGTGTGGGATGGAACCATAGGCATTTGATAGATCTAGCCAGAGTGCTGCAAGGTCTCCTCTGCTTTCTCTTGCCTCCCGGATCAACTGGGTCACTATTCATGTATGCTCCAGGCACCCCTGGGACTCCCGCCTTCTGTACTGAGGTATCTATATGCATTCTTTAGGAGGAACTCAGTTAGACGTTGGGCCACAATCTTAAAGAAGATCTTCCCTTCGACGCTGAGCAACGAAATGATACGAAACTGCTCTGTTACTTGAATCCTCTTCTTTTGGTATCCATATACCCTCTGCATGTCTCCACTACGCAGCAACCTTTCCTCTTCGCCAGATCACCTTCAAGATCCTCCAGAGACACACTAGGAGCCTAGGGCACTGCTTATAGACCTTATAAGGTACTCCACTGGGACCTGGGACAGAGCTAGCTCTTGCAGTTTTGACTGCTTCTTTGACTTCTTTCAGGGTAGGCTCAGAGATGTTAAATTGGGTCTCTGGTTCTGCAGGTGTTACCAGTTCTTCACACAGGCCAAGGTCTTGCTCCCTCAAATTGTCACTAAAGGTGAAACTGAGATGGTGATTGACTTCTTCTGCAGAGCAAATGAGTTGGCCACTCCGCTTCTGTCCCAGTAGTCTCTTGGCAAAGCCAAAGGGTTTGGCAATAAAAGCACTGCACTTTCAGGCCCTCTCCTTGCCCTTCCTACGATGCCACTCAGCCCGCCTCAGTGTAATGAGCCTCCTCCTTATGATGTCTGTTAGGTCTGACAAGGCAGCTTTCTCCTTCTCCTCAGCCAACTTGAATTGGCGCTTCGGGGATCTGAGTTTCAGCTGGCTGATCTTGTGTTCCCGCCGGTTTGGTCTTGCTGGATCACTTGTTCCCTGCTTCTCCGAGGTGCCAAACCGTTCTGAGCCTATGCTCATTATGAGGGTGCACATAGTCTGGAGTTTCTGGTCCCGCATTCCCCTTCGATGTCACCTCCAGTATCTTATCTACATCCTCATCCAACTGGAGCCACTTCTTCTTATTAGCGGCAGGCCACTTCATTCGATGCTGTTCTGACGTCCTGCTTTGTGGGGGGACTTGTGTTGCATGGAGGTTCTGGGCACTGTGGGGTGACGCCGAGCCGGGCTCCTCCTCAGTCTGACCAAGTTCTGTAGTCAGCACCACAAAACTTGTAGTGCTGGCTCCTGCTCCTGTGCGTTGCTTCACTTGTTCCCTCCTCAATCAGGCAATTTTTGTCTGGTGGATCTTCAGACCTCTATGATTTCTACACCCCTTTCCACATACAAACTGCACCCGTAATCGATTTTCCATTTGCTTGGTTCGTTACCAATTGGTCCGCCCTATTGGGATGCTCATCCTCCCGCCCTCTCGGGCATCCCTGGGGGTATAGTTCTGAAGGGTTCTTCGTAGCTTATTTGGGTGTTCCCTCACTCTAGCTGTAGTTTGGGTTGCTAGCCCTTGCTGCTGTCTTTCCGTGCTGTCTTCTGTCTCCAGCCGTTCTTTTCATGGACGTCATCCAGTCTTTCCTGGAGGTCATTGGCAGAGCCAGAAGTGATCATTATAACATACACCTTCTGGTGCTACTTGGACACGTCTTCAGTGAAGAACCCGGGGTATATATCATGGTAGTATTTTTTTGCTGACTTAAATGTAATAAAAACTGCTGCATTACAATAATTGTTAATGTAATATAATATTGATAACTAGACATACATTTTTCTGAAGAAAATGTCAGTGGTGCCTGCCGTGGCGGAACTCAGCACTAGGCAGTCTCTATGATGTTCAGAATGATTGCTAGGGCGTTGCTATGTGGTTGTTAGGCAGTTGCTATGTTGTTCTGGGTGGTCGCTTGCTAGGGTGTTGTGGGTCACCAAAATCACCTGATTCAAACACAGTCAGATGAACAGAAGTGAGCAATCCTGCAGTGTTTCAGACACACACAGATGCTTGATCTCTCGGTTCTGTGCTCATTATGAAGCATGTATTGTGTGTGTGCGTGCGTGTGAGTGTGTGTGAGAGTGTGAGTGTGTGTGTGTGTGTGAGACTGTTTGTGCGTGTGTGTGTGTCTGTGTGTGTGTGCGTGCGTGTGAGAGTGTGAGTGTGTGTGAGAGTGTGAGTGTGTGTGTGTGTGTGTGAGACTGTGTTTGTGCGTGTGTGTGTGTCTGTGTGTGAGTGTGTGTGAGAGTGTGAGTGTGTGTGTGTGTGTGTGAGACTGTGTTTGTGCGTGTGTGTGTGTCTGTGTGTGAGTGTGTGTGAGAGTGTGAGTGTGTGTGTGCTGCCGGCGGAGCGAGAGGCTGTGCTGCTGGGAGCCGCTGTGATCGGAGCCTGTGCTTCATCTGACTGCAGCTCCATACAGGTACAAACAGCCCTCACTAACACATCATTCTAGGATGTCATGTGAAGAGCAAGATTTGATGTGAGACCGTTACCTGTGTGATGCCTCTTTGTAAATCAGCACCACTATCTCACTATATAGTAAGTCAATAGTAGCCTACCACTTAAACTAGTACCAAGTAAACACAGAAATGTTTTAAATCTTTCTGCAGTACAGTTCAAATCGGTACACATTACTATTGGATTAACAGAATATTGTCATGTAGGGGATTTACAGTTAAGGCCCAAGGACCAGTTAGGAAGAATAGAGACCAGGAGTCAGAGATGCAATCAATTGAAGAAAAATGTAGCACTCGGCCACCGAGTGACATGACTTGCCTTAAAGAGACTTTGACTCAATACAGCAGTGATTCTACTCTAACAAAGGTCACTAACTACGTCATCACTTTAGATTAAAGGATTCTGGTTGGTTGAAACATAGATAAACTTGGAGAATCTCCACACATGGATATAGTTCAAAGCATATCTCTGAAGATTATTGAGGTGACAACTGAGGTCCAGTTTTCAGCGTGAAGTGTCTCACCGAAGGCATATATCAGCACATCTGAAAACATCCATTCAGTCTTGGGAGCAGCTGTTATTTACCTCACTGAAGCCTAATTCTGTGAACACAGATGGCAACACACACACACAGTCACACACACACACACACACACACTCTCTCTCTCTCTCTCTCTCTCTCTCACACACACACATACACACACTCTCTCTCTCTCTCATAGCAAAATGTGGTAGTTCTGTATGTTGTTTCAGGGTTGGCATTATCTGAGGTCCTCTGAGGGGTTGGCGTCATCTCTTCTCAGGTGTTCTGGATGCAGACTGAAGCTTGTGTAAATCCTAGTTACCACGGGATGTCAATCCCAGCAGAAACAGAGAAACAAATAGAGACAGAATTAGCGTAGCTGCTGTTCCAACCAAGCAAAATTGATTTGTTTAACCCAAACTAAAGAATAATAATGTGCATTTGATCAGATATAACTGCAGTACAAGATTATTGTACACACACTCTCACTCTCACACACACAAACACACTCACACACACACACTCTCACACACACAAACACACTCACACACACACTCTCACACACACACACAGACACACACACACTCTCACACACACAAACACACACACAGAATACACAACTTTGTCAAGGTTGAGTGGCTCAGGCTTGTACTCTTATCAGGTGCTTCCCAGATCACGCAGTTTCTCCGAGAGAAAGGCAGAGAATTCCAGACAATATTCAACTTTATTCTTTAATGTACAGGATTAGAGAAGAAAGCGAATGTTCTAACTGTACTTTTGTCCCGTAGCAGAGCCCCTGATGAGCTTTAGTGATGTAGGGAGGAGTGAATATATGCTTAGCATATGGAGAGAGTTCTCTGGAAAACAAGGAGAGAGCAGATTCCTGTTACAACATACTTCTGAATGCCTAACTACTAAGAGATCCTATACTCATAACTTTATTCGGTCAGCTGAAATCTAGGTTAAATACTGATTAATACTGGGATTAAGAACCACTCAAAAGGATATATATGAAAGCGGCCGTGGATCCAGGAATCCAGTTCTTCAGTTATTATTATCAAGTGTTACTGTTAATTAGAAAAAAATAAAAGTATTGGCTCAACACTGAGGATTGGTGGTCAGGCCAGAAGATCATAAATAAGTTATTTCATTGTTTTTGACCTGTGTAACCTTACGATACCAACATTTTAGAAACCAGTGAAATTTTTCAATTCTTATTTCCAATTTAGGATCACAACACAAACTAATACTGGCATGACTAAAATAAAGATCAAACATTAAACTCAAGACATGTGAAGTCAATGATAAAATAAGAACTGCTACAAAATGACAAGCAATAGCACAAATAAATGCAATAGAACAAAGATGCAGGTTAAATAAACAGTACTGCTTGTGAAGTAAATATACACAGATAGCTCTGAAAGCTACAGAAGTCTAGTTCCGAGCAGTGAGTGATTCTTCTTTTGCCGTTAGTTTAATATGATTAACAGCGAACAGAAGGTATGAGGCTGCTGTCATTTTAAGACCTAATCCATTATATTGACACACATCCGATATTTTCTTAACCGTTTACATTCACTTAAGACATAGTTGACTGTGTTTTCGTGAATACTCAAGACGGGCTTTTTGACATCATTGTGTGTGTATTTGCATGAATGTATTTAAATGAAGACACAAAAGAGAACTCAATCCTGTACTTGCAGACAGACAGAAGGACTGAAGTCCCCTAAAAAAGCTCTAGAACCTTCCCTGAGAGCGTCAGATGAGAACTGAACTGAGCTGAATTCATCTGAATAATGACACTATTGTCTTCTGCAGAGCTGTTTATTTCTGTGACGCTGCATTATATAAAGCACTATAGAAATAAATGTGACTTGACAAAGGAGCATCCTGGTGTCTTTCTAGGAAGCAATGAGGAGAATGACCAGAATCGGGCGTGTTGTGAGACCAAACCCTGAGCTCGAGAGGTGAGGTTCATTCTTTTATTCTGTCAGTACCAAGACACGCATATCTCAGGATTCTTGTGCATCAGTGTCTGTAACCATACGAATGAATGTTGGTGTGTGTAAAGCTTCTACAGGAGGAAGTACGCCGTGTTTCTGCGCCTTTATGATCATCAGAAGGAGTGTGTGGCGCTGATGGAGACCGAAGCAGAGCAGATTAAACACGGAGATCCTTGAGCTGAAGACCAAAAACAGCTTTTCATTCATCTACTAAGATACTTTTACTGAACACACAAATACTCAAAGTACTTTAAGGGTTCAGCCTTTTACACCTAAATATCACCCAAATAAAATCTGTTAAAACACTTCAGGTAAAAGTGGTTGACCACAGCTACTCACAAGAGAAACCAAGTCTGTTTTAAAGATCAGTTTAACATGATTTATTTGTGTGTGTGTGTGTGTGTGTTTTAAAAACTGAACATCAGTTCACAAATAAAATACACATATTGAAATTTGTCACTTTGTTCTTATAGTTATTTTGGAATGTAAACATGCTTAAAATACTAACTTGATATATACTTAGTTTTAATAAATCATTAATTACTGGCAACTTAAAAATACAATTTAGATTTGTTTTTGTTTGTTTTTTGAAAATGTAAGTAATATTTGTTAAACCTAGAAAATGTCGACATTACAGGGATAATACCCCCAAAATGAACATTTGCTGTTAGTTTACTCATCCTCAAGCCAACTAAGATGTAGCTGACTTCTTTTCTTCAGCAGAACAGTAAAGAAGATTTTAGCTGAAACCGTGATTCATACAGTGCAAGTCAATGGCTACCGTCACTCTGAGAGTCAAAAAAGCACATCAGGCAACACGAAATGAATCCCCGTGGCTCCTGATGATATATTGAGGTCTTATGAAGCGAAACGATCAGTCTGTGGAAGAAACTGAACATTATTTACAACATGATTACTGTAATCCAGAGCCTCGGGCAAACAGGGAAATCTGATTCTTTCGGACAGTTTGTTTCAGTGAACTGGTTCAGTTCTCTAGTTAGTTTATATAATCACACAATGACGTAATGTATACGCAATTATATTATTAAAGCATACAATAATGCTGTGAAACGTGGATGTTTTACTTGTCAAAAGCACATAAAGTGAGTAAACTAGTCTTCATCAGCTCACCTTTTTACATAACCATAAAAACGTTAATTTCTCTCCTCAATGCAAGCTCTGGGTTCACACGAGCTCGCATCAGCGGCTCATCAGTCCTCGGTCCGAGTCGAGCTGTTTCTTCAGTTCAGTGACTGCTGGAGGACCTGGATCTGAATCAGTTATTCATCACAGGATCAGGTACACCAGTGTTTCGGCTCATTTCTAGTCAGAGAGACTGTCAGGCGTCTGAAAGTGAGTTGTAGATCTGTACTGCTTCAGACTGAACTGCTTCATCTAGTTCACCAAAAAGAACCGGTTCAAAAGAATGCTTCTTTTTTATTCTCAAAAATGGGCAGCCGAGGAAAAAAGTCACCTACATCTTGGATGGCTTGAGGGTGAGTAAATTAATGACAAATTTTCATTTCTGGAAAATGTAAGTGTCTTTAAGTGTAACTGAAACAGTAATTTACACTTGGTTAAAATAAAGCATTAAAAACAAAGCTGTGAGGACTTTATCATCTCCGATCATCAGCTCGTCTCCAGTTCTCCGTTCTGCCCTTTTACTGCAGAAATACAGACACAAACAAACACAACAGCTCGACTACACTTCAGTCTCTCTCCTGAACTCACGTGCTTCCTGCTTCCTGCTTCTGTGTTTGAGTGACCTGTGTTAAACAGGCCTGTCTGTGAGTCAACATTTGCATCTGCTTTTTATAACTTAATTGTAAAAAAGTTCCACGCACACTTGTGGTCTTCATGCTCACTTGAACACTTGGGCCAGATACAGTAAATACGTCATATAAGTGGTCAAGTGCAAATACTGTAAGTGCTGGTATTGGGACAAGGAGTGTAAAGCAGGTTCCTCAGTTCTGCTCCTGCTGAGTTTAGCTTCAACACATCTGTTATTAAAGTAAACGCAAAGACCTTGATGAGTTGATTCAGGTGTGTTTAATTAGAGATCAAACTAAACTCTGTGGGAAAATGACTTTCCTGGACAATGAATGTGGAACCCAGATAATGAAATGTCTACTTTTATGAAATTGTCTTTTATATGACTTTGAATAAATGAATATATGTATTTTGCATTCATGTCTGGCTGTTTAGTCCAGCCAGTCACTATTGAGTTACGAGGTTAGGGCTATGATACGTTCCTTTCCACTCTTGCTGCAAGCATAAAGTAAAGATCTGGAGAACTTTTGTGAAGAAAAAAAGCTTTATTACTTTATTATTGAGACACAATGTTGAAACAATACTGAACTCAAGCACATCTGTCCTCTGTGCTCATTAAATGAGCAGCTCTGTACAACGTTTTGCTCTCATTTATTGACATTTCATAATGTACAATCCAAGCACAATACAGTGGTCTTAGTTAAAGTAATAAATAAATAATATTAATGTACTTTATTCAGCAATGAATGAACATGTGGCCAGACAATGCAAAGTACACAGTTTGTGTATCGCAAAGGTCCTTATTTCACATTTTCATCAATGCTGTAGTTGTTAGGTTTCCAACACTCTTCTGATCTCATGTTCTCACTGCACGACTTTTCAGTTCACCACCTCGCACAAACTGTGACTGATATAATGAATTTAAGGATATGCATGGAGCAATAATACACAGCATTGTCTGATGAATGCTACTGCACACAGCTAACGTCATGTAGAAAGAGCTGCTACTCTCCAGCATGTAGATGTTCAAGAAAATGACTTTGCAAGATAACATCTGAGTTTCTCTGTTGACTTCTGCTCATTTGGTAACTTCTGGAGACAGTTTCTCCGATGCGACAGCAGAGCGCTGGAGGTGATGAAGCTCCGTCCACACGGCGGGCAGCGGTGCGGTTTCTCTCCGCTGTGAACTCTCTCGTGTATCTTCAGGTTCCCCGACTGACTGAAACTCTTGTCGCAGTGCGAGCACTTGTAGGGTTTCTCTCCCGAATGGACTTTCTGGTGTTCCTTCAGATATTTGGCTCTGGAGAAGCTGTTCCCGCACACCGAGCACACGTGAGCTTTCTCTCCGGTGTGGATCTTCTGGTGCTCCTTCAGGTAACCCAGCTGTGAAAACATCTTTCCACAGAAGGAGCACAGGAGGAGCTTCTGGTGGATTTTCTGGTGTATCTTCAGGTGCTTTGCTGAGATGAAGCTCTTTCCGCACCGATCGCAGCCGAAGGGTCGCTCTCCAGAGTGCGAGTGCTGGTGGTTTCTGAGGATCGTGGCCTGTGTGAAGCTCTTCCCGCACTCGTGGCACGTGTAAGGCCTCTCTCCAGAGTGAATCCGCATGTGGTTCTTGAAGTGTCCCTTGCGGATGAAGCTCTTGTCACACAGGAGGCAGGTGAAGGGCTTCTCTCCCGTGTGGATCCGGATGTGGTTCTCCAGACTCTGCTTGCGTGTGAAGCTCTTGGAGCAGTGCGAGCAGCTGAAGGGCTTCTCTCCGCTGTGAGTCTGCAGGTGTCTCTTCAGGTCTGCGTTCTTGAAGAAGCTGCTGCCGCACTGCAGACAGCTGAAGTTTCTCTCTCCGCTGTGGACTCTGATGTGGCTGTTGAGGTTGACCTTGAGCGTGAAACTCTTCCCGCACTGAGCGCAGCTGAACGGAGATTTCTTGGCTCCTGTTCTCTTCTGGGAGAAATCATCTTCAGTCTGTGATTGTTCTGCAGTTATGATCTTCTGATGATCTTCATTCACTTCTTCACTTTCCACCTTCACTTCCAGCAGATCTGAAACCAATTCAGACAATGAGGTCAAATAAGAACGAAATTAACCACCATTTCACGGCAGAAATCAAGAGGTCCAGATGAAGACATGAACTGATCCAATGACAACAGTCGTAATATTATTATTCCCCAGTCACGCATAAAGCAATTGTAAACTCACGACTGATTATTGGGTATTGAGGCAAGAACGATAGACATGGATTAGGCCATGATCCTGGATTCTTGCTGAACTAATATCAGAGCCGTGTTCTGCTCAAAGCGAAGGAGAAACTGTTCTATGGTGCGGCTAAATGGTGCTGAATATTGGGATTATGACACCTAGTCCTATTATGCAAACTGAAAAAAATAGCTAGTTTTATCATTTTGTTGTGTGTTTTTGTCAGTTTTATTTTAATAGTATTAATTAGTTACAGTTCATTTTTCATATTTTAGTACTTCAAGTTAAATGAAGTGAAAATGAGAAATGTTGCGCTTCAAACTAAATCATAAGCATACAGTTTAAAGCAGCCTGTCAGATGCGTGCTGTTTAATGCATTTCAGACGTGTTTTCCTCAGCACATAACTTACATCTTACAGTATATTTGTACATGTACATGATTTCCATTTTTCCTAATATCAAGCGAGTCTGTTAGATTGCACAGACTTCACTGAAGAAGCAGCGGTGTGCGCATGAACATCAGACAGACGGAGCACATTAGAATAGGAGAGATATAATTCTGACTAAAATATATTTTGCCAAAATATTTTACATTCAAAAGTGGAAGCACTTCAAATCACTTCCCCATTTACACCAGCACTAAACTGCAGTATGAAGAGTGTGCTGCAGCAGTCATTTTTATTTAATGACTGAGCCATAGTTTATTCAACAAGCCACTGTTTAATAAAAAAGAAAAAATGCATTATTTGATGATTCTGATGATTTTTCATTTTCATGATTTTGCCCCCACACACATCAGTCATTAAAGTAGAATCAATAATCATCACCGACCTCTCAGTTCCTCAGTTTCTTCCTCTCTGTGTGTCTCTGCATCACTCACGTCTTCACTCTCCTCTTTAATAAACTCCATCTTTACAGAAGCGTAACTCGAATTGTTCATTTTTTACAGCTGGAAACTGTTGGAGCAGATACAGAGCAGAAGACATTATTAGTATTTAGTGAATGCTGAATTCATCATATCATCACTCACGAATATTAAATATGTGTATGATGTGAGGATTTCCAGTTTAACCTGCTCGTGTGAATGTTAAAATAAAGCCACACCAGATACAGATATGAAGCAGCTCAGCTTCTGCTACAGATGACAGACGACTGAAGCGATTCTGTTTCTTAGTTTCACCTCTCTCTGTTCTTACACTATTAAGACATTCAGTAATATTTCTTGCTATTATAAGAACTTTTTCTGCATATTGTAATATTGTTTCTTTTTTCAATTCTTGTCAAGTTTTATTCATTTTTGTAGTTGATAATGATTCATACTGTAAATGTTACATCTATTTTCTATTTTAAAAAATCCAAAACATTTACTATCACTGTATAACCTGATATGATGTTTCTCTCTGGGTTTTATTGCTGTCACTGTTACACTCATGTCTGTGGAATTAATAACTATATCAGGGTTTTGTGTGATCAGATCAGATCAGAAACGGAAGGTCTGTAGGGATTTATCACTGAACTCGGTGTTGTTTGCACTGCACTGTCCGACTACAAACATATCAGCAAAAGCAGGTGTTTATGGACTGTATTAATGCTGAAACCCGCATGTAATGTGTTTCTCAGGCTCTGTCTATTGATTCGCTCTATTCAGCACTGGCGACATAAACAGATATTTCAGTGGAGAAAGCATGAGAATCAGTCTCGTGCTCACTTATATCCGCTACTACCGAATCGTTTACAGACTGTAAACTACAGGAAAACAGTAATTCGGTTACCGTCACGCCGCTCCGTTCATTCAATGGCCGCTGCTCCGCTGGCGCGACACCCGGAAGTACACGACCACAGGCGCGAGCGCAGGCTACTTTCAGCCAATCAGAAAAACCGCTTTTGTTAAAGGTGCAGGAAGAGATTTTTTTGCTAATGAAAAAGATGTTTTCACATTAAAGAGTGAAATGCACAAGAAACTGTTACAAGAGTGCAACAGTTGGTTCCAGAATTAATGCAATTCATTTTCTCCAGAGGGAAACTGACTTTTATTGATAACATTTAAACCCGCAGACAGACTGGTTGTTAACTGATGGTAAATGCTCTTGTTGAAGACTTCTGTTTGAAATAATCATGTTTAACAGTGGGATCACTGGTGAAAAACGACATTACCCATCAGAGAGTAGCATCATGACACTTACAGACCAGTGCCAACCTCATTAATAAATCTATTACAGAGCAAAGTGCATCACTGAAACATCTTTTAATGCCGGCGGAGAGCAATCTTTCTTCACGCTCTACCTCTGCATCAGTTAGTAACGATGAGAAGCGCACCTTGTTTTTGAATGGTATCATATGCAAGTAATTTTATTCATTTAAAAGTGTTGTTACTCCTGAATTTTAAGCCATCCGTTTACAGCAACAGACATGTTTTAATGATTTGTTCAGTACATTGATCTCTTCTATACAGACGTAATCAGAACAGTAGGATCTTCACTGCAAGAAATGTGTTTTAGTGAAGGACACGTTCACTCCTGAAGACAAACCATGAGCTGAGGAGCATCAGTCTCTCTAGCAGCCTGTATTTATTATGTATGAAGGACTTTAAATGTGTTTTAAGATCAGATATATGGCCGAAACTCCTCCTGCATGGAGCGCAGTGAAACAGCTTCACTTCTCTGTGAACGATCTCGTGTGATTTCAGGTGATATGCCAAACTAAACCCTTCCCGCACTGAAGACAGATGAAAGGTGTGGATTCTCACGTGATCCTTCAGGCTTCCACACTGACGGCAGGTGCACCACTTTCTTTTTAGAAGAGTTTGCATTCAGTTCTTCTTCACTTTCCTCATCCATCAAGTCTGAAAAGAAACTAATTAAATGGTTAACAATGTTTGTCATATTTTACATGCTTTAAATGGTAACAATCACATATTTAATGTTATTTTAGGTTACAAAAATTATTTTAATCATATATTTATACTATAGTAATACTGTGATGCTAAAACACTACATACATACAAACAAACTGTCGTAACTGAAGACAACATGTTAGAAAAATAAAATAATTCAGTTATCCAGTCATTTCAACTGATGGAAACTAATAGAACGGGATTAGACTTAAAGTGATCGCTCAGCCAGAAATTTAAACTATCATTAGCTGGCATGTCACTGCAATCCTGAATGACTTTCCTTTCTTCTGTCGCGTGTAAATGAAGACGTTCTGAAGAAGGTTAGTCACCAAACAGTTTCAGTTTCAGAGTTTTTGTCCACACAATGGAAGTCAATGGGAACCAAAACTGTTTGGTGACTAACCTTCTTCAGAACGTCTTGTGTTCATGTTCCACAGAAGAAAGTCATGTAGGTTTGGAAGGACATGAGTAAATGATGACAGAATGAGCATGGCCCCTTTAAGAGTCTTTATCCTGTGGCTCCCTCTCCTGGACAACAGCAGAATTACTAATTACTCATCATATTTGCTGTAAGTGGAAAATCATGAAAATAAGCGTTTGCTCAGAATGACTTCTTCTCCATATGAACAAATATATTAGATTATACCTGCAAAATGATTTAATGGATCAAAATTCTTTTGATAACTTTTTTATTAGAATGTTATTGTGTTGTGATTTGGAGGATGTAGATTTGTGGTTAAAGAAAATAATATGAGTGCTGTACCACTTCACGAAGGATGCTTGTGTTAAAGGCTGGAGTTCTGCAGACGGGACGCCTTTACCTGGTTATGTTTGTTCAGTCTGTTTGGTTATGTGCCGGTCAGAAATGATTCAGGGCTCGGGGCAAAGAAAAACAAGTAGATAGAATAGAAAAAATAGAAAGCTAGTTTTTATATATATATATATTATTATAGTTTTTATTATTTTCATTAATATTTTGAAATAGCTTTTATCATGATATTTTCAGTTTAAAATTTAATTTAAGCTTATTTTATTTTATTGTATTTTTCTTTTTCATTACTAGTTTTTTTTCACTAGTATTTTATTACTCATTACTCTTTAGGGTCAATTTATTTTTATTTGTGTGTGTGTATATATATATATATATATATATATAATTAATAATAATTCCTTCAGACAAATCAAATCTGATGGCAGGTGCCCTTTTATGTGCACGGGTGCTCCACGAGACAGTTTATACTCCTTCATGGATTTGTTTCTTACAAACACACAGCTTTTGTCTTCTCCAGATGTTAACTGATGGACTGGAGTGCTGTGGATTACTTGTGGATTATTGTGATGTTTTTATCAGCTGTTTGGACTCTCATTCTGACGGCACCCATTCACTGCAGAGCATCCATTGCTGAGACACTGATGCAATGCTACATTTCTACAAACCTGATGAAGATACAAACTCATCCTGATCTCAGATGACCTGAGGGTGAACACATTTACAGCTAATCTTCATTTTTTAAATTCATCTATAAAGCAGCTCTGGAGACAACAGTAGCCTGGTTTCCATTAAAGGGCCAAGCCACTGATTCTATGCAGTTTTGAATTGTGATTACAAAATTATGCCATCGCGCAATGACATCATAAATGTCATTTTTCTTTTTTGAATTTGTCCTGCCTTTAGCAACTTTCCCTGAAAATTAGTTGGCAACACTGACGGAGTAAACAAGGAAACATGGAGGCCACTGAATTTTACTCGTTTACCTGAATTGCAACTCATTCATTTAGAAGCTGATGTGCTGCGAAAGCCAGCGAATTCACGAGCAGGCGATAAGCAGGACGAAGATGAGGAGAAAGAGTGCAAAGTTTTTCAGTATTTACAGTACGACCCCTTATGTTCAGCTTGTATAGAGCGGTCACTGTGAAACACCACTGCCTCCCCCCTGACCAAACAACCACCGATATATAAACTCTCGACAGCGTGGAACACATACAAAAGTGCCAAAATACCCGTCTTGGCAAGTATCCTTGAAAACAGTCGGTTATGTCTTAAATTAACATAAACAGTTGAGAAAGAAATCAAATGTGTATCAGTATATTATTTGTGTTTAAAGTGACCGCACCTAATTTACTAGCTGCTGTAGGTGTCCTTAATATTAATCAAATAAATAAGTAAATGTATTGCTCTTGACTGAATAACTTAGCTTTACAATTAATCTATATTTAATTTATACAGTGAATATACAATATTATCTCATTATTCAATTTCTGTACTTGAACACCTACAAACCTCAAAACCCAAAGCATCTTTAAGTTGTATCTTTGTATTATTTATTTATATGAGCTATTGCTTGTAATTTTGTTCATTTGTTCTTATTTACTGACTGTTCACTTGTCTTTAATAATGTTTGATCTTTGTTAGGCTAGTAGTTTTTGCTGTGGTATTAAAATTGGAATCAAGAATTGTAAAATTGAACTGGTATATATTTTTGGTGTCATATAATCTAATTTATTATAATACAAGATAACATGGGTCAAAAACAATGATAACATTTTTTTAAACAACAAAGTTACTTACTTACTAAGCTAACACCATGTTTCTTGATGATATCTCCCAAGGGTAGCATGCACAGGGTGAAAAGAAACGGTCCTAGTACTGAGCCTTGTGGTACTCCATACTGAACTTGTCATCGATATGATACCTTTAAGGTGTAGAAATAAGAGACAGACCTTGGTTTTGAATGGTACCATACACAAGTAATTTTATTTAAAATTGTTGTTACTCCTGAATTTAAACCATCCATTTACAGCAGTAGACATGTTTTAATTATTTGTTTAATAGACTTTATCAAGATGGCAAGAACTTCACTGCAGGAAATGTGTTTTAGTGAGTGACACATTCTCTCCTGAGGAGCCACTCTGGAGCATGAATTTCTCTAGCGGCAGGTATTTATTATGTATGAATGACTTTAAATGTCTTTTAAGAGCGGTCATTTGGGTGAAACTCCTCCCGCATGGAGCGCAGTGATACGGCTTCACGTCCTTCACATCGTTGTGAACGCTCTCATGTGCTTTCAGGTTTCCTGCCACTCTAAAACCTTTCCCACACTGAGGACAGATGTACGGCTTCACATCAGAGTGAGTTTTTAAGTGAGTCTGAAAGTTTCCGCTTTGTGCAAAAGTTTTCCCGCACTGCTGGCATGTAAAAGGCTTCTCTTCACTATGAACTTTCATGTGCCCTGTAAGGCTTCCTTTTTGTCGAAAACTCCTCTCACACTGATTGCACTTGAACGGCTTCTCTCCAGTGTGGATTCTTATGTGTTCTGTAAGGCTTGCTCTTTGTTTAAACCCATTTCCACAGTACTTGCATGTGAAAGGTCTCTCTCCGGTGTGGATTCTCATGTGATCCTTCAGGCTTCCCTTACATGTGAAACTCCTTCCACACTGATGGCAGGTGCACGACTTTCTAGCTCCAGTTCTCGGTCTTCTTTTTTGTGACACATTCTTTTTAGAAGATTTTTTATTCAGTTCTTCACTTTCCTCTTCAACTTCGCTCAGTTCTTCACTTTCCTCTTCCATTTCCATCAGGTCTGAAAGGAACAAATTAAATTTACTTAAAAAAAAACAAAATCAAGTAAATTGACAAGAAACGTGAAATAAGAAATAAAAGTGACCCCCATTTAACAACACAACACAACCAAGCTCAAGCATCTATTTTATATCATCATGGTTCAATTTATAATGTTAAACTTTAATCCTATTAGATCCTAAAAGCATGAGTTATCAAGAAAATCTAGTCAAACATTAACTAATATTTCCGGGGTTTTGTCTCTACAACATGAACATAATGCAAACTACTGGATAAATTAACTATCCTAATAATAATGGTTAATAGTGGCTTTGGTAAGACAGAAATGGTAATGCTCTGCTACACAATGTGTGTCCAAGATAAATGTTGTGTGATTACACAATATGTGGGCACCATTATAAGGAGTTATGCAATTACCACTAACTTGAACTTGTTTGGGTGGAAATGTTAATGTTCCGGGTTAAGATGAGTTGGTAATCAAACAGCTGCTGATAGCCATTGACTGCCATAGTTTGGAAAAAAAAAATACTATGGAGGTCAATGGGGACCAGAACATTCTTCAAAACATCTTCTATGTTCAACAGAAGAAAGAAACTCGGCTTGGAACGACATGAAGGGGAGTAAATAAGATTTATTTTCTGAGTGAACTATCCCTTTAAGAACAATGTGCATTTACTTTTAAATTGTATTTAGATGTGAGTTTAGCATGTGCAGGATGCTGATGCATCAGTCAGTGTGTAAAGTGTCATTATTGTAAAATACCAAATCAACTATTCTATTTAAAATTGTGTTTTGATGATTTAGCTGAATAATTGAATAACTGATGACAGACGAAGCTGAACCCCAGAAAAAGAGATTTATTTGAATTCTATTACTTCTACACAGGCATATTGTCACGGAACTGTGTCGATGAACACACACGAAGACGAGAGGAAGATAAGCAGTCTTTAATAAATCCACAGATAGTTAAATCCAAACAAGGGAAGGCTGGCGACACGCGTAACATTGACGAGACCCGACAAACTCAGACTGAACACACTGGAACTTAAATGCACAGACCAAACAAGGATAATAAACAAGACACAGCTGGGACCTGTTTCATATAAAAGGTTTACCAAATAAGCCAGGTTTATTTCAGTTAGTCTGATTTATTTTCAGTTGATTTGGTTCAAAATAAGTCAGAATAACTGAAATAAGTCTGGCTTGTTTGGTAAACTTGTTTTATGAAACAGCCCCCTGAACATAATGATGAACTCAAATCAGAAACCATGGCAACAAACTAAAGAGAGAACAGTGAAAACACACACTGAGTCCATATGATTGTGACACATATGCATATTTACATACTTAATTACCTATATTTTAATTGAAGATATATCATAATAGCAACACAATAAATGCAAATTGAATTATTTCACTCAGCCTATAAAAGCGAAGATGTCTGAAATTGAATTCATGGAAATACTGAATAATAACCCCATTGATTACAAACAAGTACTACATTTAGTATGACATGGCACTCAGATCCTTCAGTGCCAATTCTGATGGCCCATCTGACCCCAAGGTTCTCAGTTTCTCTCTCGTTTGTTTTTTTTTCAAATAATAAACCTAACAAAATAAAACTTTTTTTTTTTCTCCACAAATCTAAAAACATTCATGTGTCCACAAATCCCTTATTAACAAATAGGCACACTAAAAATAAAATAAAAAAACTTGGATATTCAACATAATATGTTTTGGCTGCCTAAATCTCGCAAATGTTGATTTTCAGATTAAATAAAATAATTAAAAAATAGCATAACATCATAAAAAAGTTTTGAGATGATTTTATATGCATGCATTTGTAGACTTATAACTATTAACATTATTATTTAAATCATACCATCCCTCTACAAAAAAAAAAAATAAATAATAATAATAATAATAAAATCATCCTCGAATATCTGTACAGTGGTCTTGCATTAATCACAATGTGTTAACATCATTCTTTGTGTGTCCATTGTCTCCAAAAGACTGCGCGAGCAAACGGAGAGGTCATTCGGTGAAGTTACACGTTGACTTCAGATAAAGATATGCGCTGCTGTTTCTGCAAACACACCGATCAAAGATAAGCTGCTGCAAATCACTCCACTGCTTGAAATAAGTCACTAGTTAGTGAAGAGTGAAGAATGATCACCGACCTCTCTGCTCCTCAGTCTCTTCCTGTCTCTCTCTCTGTGTTTCTGCATCACTCTCCTCTTTAATGAACTCCATCGTCAGCTTCTTGTTTCTGGTTGTTTGCTGCTGATAAGAGCGCGTTCTTCAGCTGAGTGACCCGGATGTGTGCTGATGCTGTGGGCGTGGCTTCTGAGGATCTGGAGCTCGGTCCGAGGCTGATATATATGAGCAGTGTTTCTGCAATATATACTCACCTCTACTCAGACTGATTGATTGATTGATTTCAGATGTGTTCTTTATTTAGTAAGTTACCTTAATCTGATATTTATTATTTATGTTTACATTTCTTAGACTCTTTTCTCACTTTGGCCAGTCTTGTGATGCCAACAGGAGATTTCTCATGTGAGTGAACATATATCCTTTTGATGGTATTATAAAACCTGCTGTTGTGTGAAACCTTTTTAGTTTGGCAAACCATGACTGCGTGAACTGTAGATAAAACACACACTGCTCAACGCTTTGTTGGAGAATATCTGGATTCACGGCTGTGACTAACTCCTGATTTCTCTCAGCGAATGCAAATTCTACATCTGTCCATCCATAAATAATGAAAAGTCAAACATTTGTTACGATTGTTATGACTTACATGATTGATGTTTATCTAAAGGGTGTTCTCTCCGGAGCGTTCTGTATAATGTGCTGTCTGCTGCTGGAATGGGTCACAAAATAAGATACATTTGCACTTATTTATTTATTTATTTATTTTTCAAAACCCAAAGTTGTAGTGACTATCAGTCCAATTGTATTAAGGGTAATCACACAGCAGACTGAACTCAATAACAGCAGCTGGTGTCCATGTTACTGAAGCTGAATGTGTTGATGATTCTCACTGATGCACTCATGATGAGCATCTCACCCCAAATACTGCAGAAAATACATGGTTTGGACAGTTTACATTAAAACAACTGTGGAAACAAATCCACTAGAGCTAATCACACTCATTAGCTTTTGCAGTAGTTTTATTTTTAATTAAAAAAAAAGACCATCTGCAAAACTCCATCATGCATCATTTACACTGAGGCTCTATTTTAGGCTCTATTTCTAGTTCATTTAAAACAAACATCATCTTGTAACCTTATTCTAAAGACGGTCCTGCCTTTGATGTAAATATACAAAGAGAGACACAGATTTCAGCAAACACTCTGACCTGTTTCTGGAGCATCTGTGACATGTGACATGTGGCCAGGTATGGTGACCCATACTAGGAATTAGTGCTCTGCATTTAACCCATCCAAAGTGCACACACACAGCAGTGAACACACACACACCGTGAACACACACCGGGAGCAGTTGGGCGTTCGGTGCCTTGCTCAAGGGCACCTCAGTCGTGGTA